CTAGGATCTGGAACCAACTTCCAAGAGAAGTGGTGCTGGCCCCTACCCTGGGGGTCTTTAAGAGGAGGTTAGATGAACACCTTGCTGGGGTCGTCTGACCCCAGTAATCTTTCCTGCCATGGCAGGGGGGCGGACTAGATGATCTACTCAGGTCCCTTCCGACCCTAGAAACTGTGAAACTATGAACCAACCTAAGTATTTGGCTGAGTTCTCTGTGTTTTAGCTAAGAGTATGACATTGAATTTTAAAATGCCACACACTGGTGTGCAAATGGTTTGCTTATAATTATCAGGTTCTCCTATTTACCACAGTGGTGTGACAAAGGTTGTGATCTTCAGTTGTTGAAATGTGGGACTTCTGCTGAATATTGTTTTTTGTGAGAAGTTTTTAACCTTGGTGTCTCCAAATGTCACTGAATGTAGCCTGTCCAGGTCTAACTTTGTATTTAATATGACTCTGGCACATGGTTCTGCTGTGCCCATTGCAAATGGGTCATCCACAGGTATTTTTATCAAAGCTTCTGCGAAGATTTTTCAGAATTATATAGATTTGTTTTTATTCATGCATTTCTCAATGAAACCAATGGCAATAAGAAATATAGCCCCTAACTGGCAACTACAACCTGTTTGCTGTATGCTATTGCATACCTAGCTTATTCTGACTTGTTTTCTTTTATCTTTACTATTTTCAATTATTCAGTACATGAGGATATTCCCAGCTCTTCCAGTAGAGAGAGCCTTCCACCTTCAGATCCCAGCCCAGAGCCTGCAGAAGCATGCAAGAGAGTCTTCAGTCCTCTGCGAAAGAGATCAAAAAGTGACCCTGTGCTTCATGGCTTGCCACCTAGGGGTGATTTCATTTTCTTATTTTATACCAGCACTGACTGTACTTACATTCTATGGCTTTTAGAAATGTTTGTCTGGCAAAAATGTTAAAGTATCACATGTAGTGTCTGGGAAGACTCCAGGGATGCTAGCATATATGTTAAAAACAAATACATATACATACCATTTCAAAGTCATGTATTAGAATTGGTTTGACTGACTACTACATTCAACAGTTATTTCAGCAACTTTTTTTATTACCAGCTGCTAACAGAAAGTTGAGTAGGAAAGATCTTGTGTTTTCGTCAATGTATTTATGTTTCATTTCAATGGTATCAGCACCTGAAGAGCCTATCTTTCTTCTCTGTTGTTTCAACCAGGTATCTTGTGAGCTGCTACCCTGTGCTCTTTCTTTTCCACACCTCAGAATTGAAATATCTTCTACTAACAGCATCTGTGTTTGCACTGGCCAGTCAATAAAAGCAAAACTGTTTTCTAGGAACAATTACTACAAGACTGTGTCACAAATTATAACTTTCCTTTTACAGTCCTCAAATTACTACTAGTTAGAGCAGGCTCACTGAGATCTCATTAGTAGGTGCTGATGTGTATTAAATTCATTAAGTTATTTGTAGGTTTTAATAATGGACTGTTTCCTAGAATAATAAAATAACTACAATTTCTGACTATTTTGAATAAGACGCCTATCACTGTTTTATACTTAGCATACGTTTGCCTGATTATCTTTTAGTCCTAATATTTCCTCCTGCACCCATTTTTCCATAACCTCTTTTCTTCTCTTCCACCTCAGTAGCTTCTAGAGTTTGTTTTGGAAGCAATGGTTAAATTACATGAATCAATCACCTATTAATAGCAGGTTGGGTGACGGTGGAAGGGAGGGGTGCCCTGTGCTATAGACAGAAGACATCAGTCAGCAGCTTTCAGGCACCTTGGGTTTCTGATGGCATTGGTTCTATTTGTAACTGAGATTAGTTCTCTGCAGCGTAGCCTTGGACCTGAAAGTGAAATACCCAGCTGCTGCAAGGCAGGAATTCAGCTGCTGTAACTATGGAAGTCAATCCCATTTAGTTTGATCTCCCTTGATAAGAAGTACTGGAACTCCTCCTGGAATTACTGTTATCCCTGGCATAATGCCCACATTGGCGCTTTTATGTTAAAAACAAAACAAAACAAAACAAATTGTATTTAGCCAATGTGCCATGGAATTGATTTTTTTTTCTCTGTTTAGTTCTCTTAGGGTCATTTTGAAGAGTTTTCTTAATATACATACAGACAGTACTGTCATTCTTTGTATTGGTTTTAAGAAAAAAAAGTTTCTGAATAGTACACCACAAATCATTCTGAGCACTGATATCTGTAAGCTATAGAAGGAAGCAAAGAAAGCATTAGAACAGGAATAATACATCATAACTTGAAGGAATACACAGAAATAATAGTGGTATGGGAGGAGCTATGTATTCAGTCCACCTCTCATTAGCTTGTCTGTCAGGCTCTGCACAGCTTCAGCTTGACTCTTTGCCATACATTTATCAAAATCAACAGTTGCTGTATATGACAGTGGTAGCAGAATGCAGCAGGGGTGAGGAAAAATCAGAGGTGTGTGTCTTCCTGGGAAACTGTTGTTTGCAAATGGGTGAAATTTATTTCATTTAAAAGTGCTTGTACAAGCCCTCAGCATTCTGTGAAGGGCTTTAGTGCAGAGGGTTCAATAGCTTAAATTTGTCTTTCCAGTGACTTGCATTTGGTAGAGAGTTTAAGCATAGAACTAATATTATCAAGATCATATTAGCCCTGTTTGGAAAACACACTGGGCGCATGTACACATGAAATTAACACAGATGAATAAATTCTGGCACAGTTTGTGCTCTCAGGTGCTGTATTTACACGTTAGCCTGGGGCTGCAGCATGTTGAGCTGGTTTGGAACAGTCCTTCCCACACCGCTAACAACTGGGAAGGGACAGAAGGCACCCAGCCTTGAGGAGGTGACTATTGACTGGTGTACAGGCTTGGGAGGGCTACAGAGTAGCCATGATTGCGGTTGCTTGGTTGCAGGCCACAGGATTCATTTCTTTTACTTCTCAACACACAGGGTGCATCTACATGTTGTCCTACATTGCTGTGGCGATGTGCATTGTCACTGTGTGGCATGCTATGGCGACATAGTGATCACATGGGTCTACGTGTGATTGGCAGCTATGTTGCTGGAGTGGTGCAGTCCCCGGTTTTAGCATGCCACTCTGGCAACATAGTGGCAAAATCTAACCATGTGTTGTACACACTGCATGGTACAGGCAGTTACTGTGCCGTGCTTTAGTACTTCCTTTTGGAAGGAGCAACATTGCTGTATGGCAACGTGTAGATGCGCCCATGGTCTCTCTCTCTCATATGCGTTCTCTACAGGGAGAGATGTTCATCCAAAGCACAAATATTAATTAAAAGGGATTGAGGCTTGTCAGAAAAGTGGAATCATTGGGCAATAATTTTCACTTGGTTACTTTGTGCAGGACATCCGTGCTGATATCTCAATTCTAACACTTGTTTTTCAGCAGTCCCAATAGAGAAAATGTGTTTCTTTTATCTCGTTTCATCTTTTTTTCTTCAGGTCCAGTGTTAAGCTGTGAAGCTGCAACTCAAACAGAGATAAAACCAGAACTGGCTACTGTCATTTTGCGGAAGAGTTTGAGAGCAAGAGCTTTGAGAGCAAGACCACGGTCCTTGATAGACTATAAGTCATATATAGACACTAAACTTCTCGTGGCAAGGTTCCTAGAGCAGTCCTCCTGCAGTATGACCCCTGATATACATGAATTGGTGGAAAATATCAAATCCGTTTTAAAGTCAGATGAAGAGCACATGGAGGAAGTCATCACCAGTGCCAATTTCCTTGAGCAGGTAGTTTGATTGTGGTGGTGAAGACCTCAATATTATTTCACTTCGTTAATTAGTTTCTCTAGAGTAAAAGGAATTTGCTCACTTCATAGTTTTACTTTCTGGATAGTAGCACTCAGTGTTTGAAGGTTTGCTGGTATGTCAGCTTTATTCTAGGAGAGTACAAGCAGCCATGTACTGTGGCTCTAAAATAGAGTTGAAAATGCAGAGGGAAGCTTTGTTTGGCAAGTGGGGGAGAGAAACAGTTCAATGTATTTTGTCCCAATATTGAGAACACTTTGCCTGTATAGAATTATATCAAAACAGTGACTAATCTCTTCATTCCAAAATGGAAAGCAAAATCAAGTTTTAAGAGAACTATGCACCATAAGGAGACCTGAGTATATTATTATAATTAGGCCCCCTCTATACATGCAAGTAAAGGCACAATGGGATTTAATGCGTGAGCCACATAATTGTGCTTCCTGTCATGCCACATGCGCATGCCAGAAGGTGTGATTGTGGCATCAGATCCCATCATCCCTTATTGCCAGTGCAGGGAGAGTTTGATTCTTGGCTCTTCCTGCACTGGCAAGAATCAAGCTCCTGCAGCTGGTAACCCCTCAGTTGAGATTCCAGCCATGGGGGCCCCCATGCATAATCTTCCAAGCTTGGAGGTGTGTGTAACCCCTGGGCCTGGGACACTGCTGTTGCCTGGATCCCCCAGGTCTGGGGGTTTCATGCCCACCTGAGCCCTGGGAATGCCTTGATCCCCAGGTCTTGGGGGTTTCACAGTGGGAATGGTGCACCCCTGCGGCTTCGAGCCCTGTCACGTGACAAGGCTCCCAGTTGCAGAGAAGACCCTGCTACATGTACAAATTAAAGCTTGGTAGCAGCCAGATGTCAAGTTTGTACAAATTTTTGAAGTCTAACTTTATAGCTGATTGGAGCTTTTTATCATGTGATAAGTCTTAAAGTAACTGCATGATTAGTTACCTGTAACATGAAGAGGGGGCCTTAATGTAATAAATGGTCACTGTTTCCTATAAATTAATCAAGATTATAAAACAAAACAAAAAACCTCAATAAAATTAATTAAAATGTTTACCCCACAGCAAAGATAAATGCACACATGAAATATAAAGGCTGATAGTGTGTTAAGTATCTAGAGGTGCTAGGGATATGAAAGAGAGATAAAAATCTTAATTGCTGACATCATCTAATAACCCAGGACTAAAATATCTCAGTTAACTTAATGTTTTATGCCTTATTATGAAATAGATAAACCTGTTGGTTTCATTAGTCAGTTGTTCCTAGTTTGAACTTTCTTATACATTTTCTTAGCACGTTAGTGCCATTTCAGGCTTGATCACTTTTACTTTTCTTTGTATTTTATAAATCGGTTGTAAATCAGATCAGACACTGATAAATCTACATTAGATCCAGAGGGCAGAATTCTGTTACCCTTTGTGCACATAAATGACAGTTTTCCAGCTGTAAGTGGCATTTTTGGCACAGTTTGCAGTTCTGTTACTCTCTACATATGCAGGTACAGGATTTTCAGTGGGGTGTACTCCTATTCTCAGCTTCCCCCTCCTCCCTTCTTCACCCTTTCAACTTATGGTTCTGGGCACAAGAAGGGGAGACCCACCCCCTGCTGCTGCTGTCCTGGTCACTCCTGCCCTACTGCAGCCAGGGCTGCAGGGAGTGGCAGCACAAGGAGGTAGGCTCAGCTGGGGACAGCAGTGCTGGCAGATGGGTTCTCCCTCTCTGCACCTGGTCCTGGGCTGGTGGGGAACACCTGAGAGTATTGGACAGGGAATCTACCTGCTGCCACCACTGTCCCTAGCTCAGTCCAGTTCCCCCAGCTGGCCAGCAACACTAGAAGGCAGAGAGCAGGAGGGAGGTGCCATTGAGCACAGAGGGTGCTGAGAAGAGTGGATTCTTACCTGCTTCAGGGACTCAAAAAGCCCCCAGTTGGTGCTCCCATAGTGTGCTCTGAAAGGGGGGTGTGACTGCACCCTCTCTGGATCCACCCCAACCCTCTATGACTTATGCAGTGTAGACACATAAGTGTATGCTTGTATACTGCAGATGCTTAATAGGTTGATGCCACTGCCACATATATGCACATAGTTCCTGCATGTAAGTCACAAAATTGTAGCCAGACAAAACTCATGACAAGTGGGGAGCAAAGGGGCGGAGAGGAGAAGGGGCCATCCCATGTTTTAGCCCCAGTAGCTGAGTCATTAGGGTACTTGCCCAGGAAGGAGATCCAGGGTCTAGGAAACCCTCACTCACAGGTGGTTTGGACCTGTTTCCCAGAATACTGCTCTAACCACTCGGTTAGGCCCAGGATACTCCCCCTGAGGTGCCACGAGATCTTTGAAAGGATCCTGTGTAATGTTAGTACTGTTAGATGTGTAAACACTTGCACAAGTGTCACAAGATAAACATAGAGATTTGAAACACAGTATCAAAAACCTTCTGACCTGCTGTGATCTTTCTGAGTTCGTTGCCACAGAAGAATAGCTGTATTACTTTTCTGTAGTAAAAAAATGAGTGAAAGCTAAGAGCTAGCATTTTCCAAGGGGTGCTTTGAATCTAGAAAGGTTTAGGCACTATCATAATCTAAGAGATTAGGCATTATCCAGTCCCTTTGTCTATAGGGTCCCTACTTCTGAAGCTGGACCCCTTGATAGCCATAAGAGGGAGCTAGGAATGGAGACTGCATTTGTCCCAAGATAAATTGTGCCTGCATTTGCCCAAGAACAGAACAAATCCTGGGATTGGCATATACACACACATTGGGTTGGTTGTGGGGCAACAGACATGGACATCTGAACGATCTCACTTTGTCCGGAGAAAAAATAATTTTTCTCAGGACAGATGTGATACCTATTTGTAGCTCAGGAGACAGAAAGCAACCTAGAACGTGTGTGGCTTAGGAAGCAGGGGCCATAGGTTTTAGCTTAAACCTTTCCCCTGGTGGGGCAGAAACTTCCCCACTAGTTCACATTAATTTTTATCAAATGACTATTAAATGCAAGGTACAGTGATTTCACTTCAAAAGGAAGATTCCCTGAGTGGTTTATTCTGCACCTCTTCTGCACCAGTTAGTTATATTCCCTTTCATGGTGTGTGTGTGTGTGTGTGTGTGTGTGTGTGTGTGTGTGTGTGTGTGTGTGTGTGTGTGTGTGTGTGTGTAAAACATTCTCAGACTACCACTGCTGTCAGGAAACAATAAATACCTTTGTTGGTTAATGGCGTAGAAAGCTAACTATCCTCCTGGTCACCAAGTGCTGCATATCCTTGAGACAGTCTGTAAGAAATAAGATGGAGAAGCTGACATACTGCCTTCCTTTTCGTCTTTTCTGGGGCTGCTTTCTCTCTCGCGCACACAATTTACCAGTGCACTGAATTTTTGCATGCTTCATAACTAGTCCATTTCAGTTTCAAAAGGCAGGACTGGCAAGCTATTTACAGATACAATTCAGAACAGGTGAAAAAACAGATATTTGTGGCAAAGATAGGTATAGAACCTCATCTCCAGACTTCTAGTTTTCTGTCTCAAGACTGTCTTGCTGGCTTGTCTTCCCTTCCATCCTTTAATCTTATGGAGACTAATATGTAGGTAAATTGTAGGATTCAGCAGCAGTTAGAGGTTAGTGGCATGAACTCTACCAGAGGTGACTTTTGTTTCTCTTATTTATTCTGGAAATCTTGAATAAACTATAAAGTCCAATGATCTATGGGAAAAGTAGACAGTGGACAACAGATGTTTGCATTAACAGGATAAGTGTCCAGAAATTTCTTCTCTCATTATTTGATATAAAATTCACATATGCCATAGATCTTCTTCTCAAAGATCATGGATACCTTTGAGACATGGAACATTTGGTAGGTGGCTCAGAATATAGCACAAGTCATTCTTTATTAAATCTGTAGGGAACATAATGATTTTGGTTCACACAGGTTTTATGCAACTCTTTTGTGCTGTTGGTTTGGTTGGGTCTTCACCCGAGAAGTTTGGTTTTGTTTTTTAGTTTTAGAGGAACTGAGAGATTCACTGGTTTCCTACCATAATTTATACGTGACAATAGTAGCGTAACTAGGATGGGGTGAGCAAGGTACCAGCCCTGGACCCTGATTGAAAAAGGCTGCCAGCATCATCCCAGAATGCTTCTCACCCCTGTTCTCCAGTGTTCAGCATTGTCCTGTCCTCACTTCTGCTTCCCCCTTGCAGTGGACTCTGAAAGCTTTATTATATACATAAGAATGAGTCTTCCAGATAACACTATGCTCCTTAGAGCTGGTTCAGAGCATACTAGGCAGTGAGTGATAATTTTTTTATGAAAAAAAAGGATAGAAATAAGGAGGAAGAGGACATATCAACTGTTTTAACTCTATCAAAAGTTAACTTAACTTGCCTTGGTTTGGGGTGAGTTAATACCAGAGTTAATACCTATGTAAAGAAAAGTTGGGGATATGAGGTGTGAAAATGCACAAATCCTGTGGGGAAATATTAACTAAATAGTGACAAGGTGGAAGGACCTGTTCTTACACCCCTAACCTCATCACTAATTCTGCTTATGGTTAATACCATTATTGCCTGCTGCATTGTTATGATATAGGTTAATGGACTGTCAAACAGCTTGGTGCATAATCATCTGAGAAATACGAGGCAAACCTACAGATTGTTTCTTCCCACTCTGGTAGAAGTTTGGTCACAGGTAATTTCATTTTAATGTACAGTAGAGAGTCAATTATCTGAACTAATAGGGACCAAAACCCCATGGTAAAATCAAATTGTTCAGTTAATGAATCTCATATTAAATGAACATTTCTATCCAGAATATATATAATATATCTACAACCTTTCCCACATTGCTGATTTTTTCTATTTTTTCCCTCAGTCATTAACACAATTTTATTTCTTTTAGTCATCATTGCTTGAACCACATGCTTGGGGTCTTGTCCTGCATTGCTGTAACGCATGTCATTTGATGATTGTTTTTTCTTTTCTGTAAAGATTATGACTCCTGCTTGTCCATCTACATCAAGAGCACACACACTGCCATTTAGAAGACACCCAGGACTACTACACCTGGAAAGCTGTGGAGATCTGAGCACTTTCACTACAGCAGAAAACCAAGTATCAGAAAGGAGAAGCCAAAGAATAGAGCATGAGCGACCTCACAGTCTCATTGGAGTTGTACGGGAAACTGTCCTTTGATTTGGTGTGTTTCTAATTCTTCTCTTAGAGTTCCTCCATCAGACAAAGGCACAGCGCAGGAAAACCATCTCTGAAAAGCAGGGTGATGGGAATGTCACAATTACTTCCTCCCCCCCACTCCCCCAATAGTCTCCTAATGTTGTTTTTGGAACCGTTGACTGGAGACTCTTTGAGAAAATTAATTCAACAGAACCTCTTGTTGTTCTGGTTCTTCGCTGGCTTTAAAACAAGGATATTCAGGTGTGGTTAGTATACTCCAGGATCATTATAGTTTATGGCTTCTTGGGATTGCAATGTTATGACTAAACCACGTTGTACAGTACAATGCTTCTATACCTTGATTTCTATCCTTTGAGGTGAGGTCACTGTACATACATTCATTTGTTTCTTGTCCTACTGAAGAGTGTTGGCCAAATTATGCTCTCCTTTTTGTATAAATCCAAAATAAAAACATTGAAGTAAATGAGACAGCTGTTCAGCTTGTTAAAATTGGCATCAATCCCTTGGTTGTGGCAGAGCTGGGGTGATTTACCCCAGCCATGAAGATAGCCTGATGGATTTGCTCCAGCCTATTTGTATTTGTCCAGAACAGTATGTGTTTTCATAGGCATCTTCCTGGTGAAAGTGCTTGTGCCACCACCTTTGGAAAACCTCTTTTTGGGCTTGGGAGTCAGGGAGCTGAAATGACAGCATGTTGTTTTGGTGCCCTCAATTACACAGCCCAAACAGCTAATTAGGAACAGCAAACACTCCAAATCCCAGTGAATAGTTTGTGAGCCATGCCTGGGCTGTGGTAAACTGGCATCAAATAGTTATTTAGTCATTCTGAACAACATACAGGTTCATAAGAGTCTCTTTGCAACTAATTCTTGAACAGAAAAAAAGCACTAAATTCCTCAACTCCTAGTTGGAGACTAGTTTCTCAGGTACTGCTGGTAACCAGGAACAGGTTTCAGCCCTGCTTCTCTATTTGGCAAGGATGTATGGGCTTAAACCAAAGCTCATTAAAGTCAGTAGGCGTCTTTCCATTAACTTCCAAGGGCTTTCGATCAGGCTCATAGTTTGTACTATCAAGACCATTTGTAGCAGCTTACAGCCTCTTGCATCTCAGCAAGATATGAGTTGTCATTTAAGCAGGCTGATTAAAAATTCCTGCTGTTACTGTAATGATAAAGCTTCACTTAGGGTAATTATTAAACCACTTGTCCTAGGGAAAAACAACAAAAAAAGCTTTAAACTGTAAGTTTTAATTAAGTCTGTTTAGGAGGAGAACACATTGGTTCAGTTTATTGGTGTTTGAAAAATGAGAAGCGGACTTAAGAAATAAAAGGTTTAATTTGTACACCTGGACTCCGTGTATTCACTTTGTTTGTGTGGTTTCTTCATGTTGATAGGGATCCTGAGGGAGAAGCCTCAGGTCCAAGAGGGCTGAGGCCCATTGCGGCAATGAGCTGTGTGCTACCAGGCCCCTGCTCCCCTCTGGCATTCATCCCAGGATTAGCTTATGTATCTCTAATAGTTGTTATTACACAGAAAAACAGCAGCCTTTCTGCTGATTTGTGGAAGATATAATTATTCATTTGGAAGAGAAATAGCTTTGCCCAGCAGCTGCCATGGCAATCCATTAAGAACACCTTGGACAGGGTTGTCTACCATCCATCCAAAGTCACAGTTGTTAGGTTGTTAATCAGTCACTTTTAACATTCCCCCAGGCTGATTGTTCATTGGTAACATGATTAACATCACCCTTTTGCCTCTGTGTTTAATGGAGATATACAGGGACTTAAGTGCTCTACCTGACTGCTGAAGGTAATTCATGACTACCAGAAAAAATTGCCTTTTAGGAGTAAGACCATTGAATCATTTTGAATGGAATATTTTTTTAAACAGATTCTTTTAAACAGATTTGTCCTGTCCTGCCAGCTGACAGGATGGTGAACCTGAAAGGAATTGAGAGTAAAAAACCCCAAATCTGTCCCCACCACCCCTACCAAGCACCCCCTCCCCCATAAATGGAGTCTGACACAAGTATGGGCCACTATTAAGGGCAGAGAAAATATAAAGCAGATCATATGACAAACAGTGAGAGAAAGGTTTAGTTTTTTGTGACTTTCCTTGCCTGTGCCTTAAGCAAAATCTTGCCTCCACTTTACTGAAGGAATAAGGAAACATGTAGAAGTACCTGTGCAGGGAATCCATAAGTAAGTCCTGTGCAGCTGAGCTAGATCTAAGGGTAAGACTTGTCTGCATGACTGGAATGAGAGCAATTTTCTCTGCATAGGAGCTGTGGCTGTAATCAGCAAATGAAACCCCACAGTGGGCCTGTCTACATGTATAAGTAATGTGAAGCAATAAACTCCGGAGTTTATTGCTGCCAGGCGCACTATTTGAACATACGCCTGGAAGCAATAAATGCTGGAGCAATAAACTGTAGAGTTTATTGGCCTTTGAATGTACAACCAGGACCGCAGCACATTGAACTAGGTTGGAGCAGCCCCAGCTGGCAGGGGACCTGGAGGGTCAGCCTGCCAGCCCGGGACTGCGTACCCTGGCTCAACATGCTGCAGAGGCGCTGGCTGGGGTGCGAGGGTACTTCAGCACGGGGCTAGTCAGCATACAACCCTGTACTGAAGTGCCTTCCAGGGAAGTGTCTACACATGCGCTGCTGCATTTTTTACTCCACAGCAGGGTAATACTTGGATTTACAAATACTAGCCCATGCTGCAGAGTGAATTTGTTTACTCCAGCCTGATAGGGGTGCATGTGTAGATGGTGAGATGTCTAATGTGCAGCTTAGTAGTCTACTGCACAGTAAATGCCTCATGTAGATACACCCAGTGTCTGTGATCATGGTGTAAGACAGACCAACAGGAGGATGCTGGCCTGGCTACACACAACAACCCTCCCCCATTTCTTCAGCGTTAGTCCATGGAGCAGAAAATGGGCATCAGAGTAACACTTTATGGCAAAGACCATCAAATGCAGCAATTGCAAGATCCACTTGTGATAGCAAAAATTGTAAAGAAATATGAGAATCACTCAAAAGCTCTTCCATTTCCACTTATTTTCTTCTACAACCAATTCATTCTCCAAAGAGACATCTGTAGAACCGGGTCTCTCTCTGGGAAAATGAGGCACTTAACAGGTTTTGCACTGAAAAGGGGTTATTTGTATTTAACCAGAGGGCCTGATGTTCTAAGTAAGTAGATCCTGGACATAAATAGTTGATGACAAGTCAGACTCCTTATGGCAGTTTTGAGCTTGCTGCTTATAGCTAACTTTTTATCATTTCATGAAGATAGGCATTCTGGTTTCAAAAAGGGAAGTGTTTAGTCACTAATTTTCTAGTACTATACCAGAAAGAGGCTTTATGGCATTTGCTTACTTGGGGCCAGATGTATCAATGTTTGTACACGTTTACTCCAAGGGTGAAGTTGCGTCTGTGCCTGCATATGATAAGATCCCCAACATTAATGTGCTGTACAAGCTAAGGGCTACAATATGTGTAGGAGTGAGAATGTACCTTCCCCACCAGGCCTGTAAGGAGAGTCTTTTTGAGTTCCTCAGAAACCTGTTCAGATTCTGATGCAAACAAATAGTTTTGTAATTTTGCAAAAGGAAAAAGTTAATAATCAAACAGGTGAATGGTCCTGGCTCCCTGACTTTGCTGACATGCCTATGCTTTTTCAGTGATCTGGCTTGGGATCCAGTGCCCCTCCATCTCCCTTCACATACAGGATTGGGGTTGGCAGGTACCCTGATTCTCAGTGTCTTCTGCAGAAAATGTGACAAGGACAGCACGGGAAGCTTTGGGTTCTGTGGTTGGAGTAGAACAGATTTGTCCTCAACTAATACTTGCCTTGTTGATAAGTCTCTGGTCTCATTGGTAAATTAACTCATAACCATCGCCATTGGTTATAAAGGGGGGGTGCTAAACTTGCATCTTAAAATGCTCACCAGTCTGACACCTAACTTCCAAGTACACTCTGTCTACTGGAATCTATAGCCTCAGGCTCAGCACCCAAGACTAAATCATGAAAGAGAATCAGGATCATGGATTTTACCTGACAGAGCCCAAGTACCTAAGTTAGGTGCTGAGGCTCCTTTTGCAGTGCATGGGGAGAATTTAGCGTCTAACAGGATTCATAGCCAATGGTGAAGTCCATGTTACTGTATCTTAACAGCCAAGATAAAGCTAGCTCAGGTACACCCACACAAGTTGTACTCATGTCACAGGTAGCAGAGTAGACGTGCCTTTTGAGAGACCAGGGTTATTTGCAGAGCAGCCCAGTGTAATCCTTTCCCACCCCTCCTGCTGCTTGGCTGCCCTCGCAGTAACATGCCCTCTGTAGGACTCACATGCCCAGTGCTTCGCTACTGGCTGCTGTCCCCACCTGGATTGCATGCAAGACTGGCTCAGCATGATCTTACCCCAGGTGTCTCAGTGGATTTGTAGAGGACTGCTGAGTGCTCACCCTCCTCAGACCTGGGTCATCAGTCCTCCTCTCCCACTTCAAGGGGTATGGATGAGGGATAGCTGTTTAGGTGGGGAAAAGGAAATAGCCTTAACATTCTCTTTCTATGACTATCCCAGAACATCCCAAACTCGGGGATTGAAGAAGCTGGGAAGGAATGAGAGAGGGTAGTTATGCCCTATATTAGAGCTACCTGTAGGAATCCTTTGCAGTAATAACTCTTACCCTGGAGTTGGGTAATGTAGATATTGCCCCATCCTCTGCCCTCCCCTCTGAACTGAGTCATGGAAACAATAGGTGCCTTGCAGTAAATCCTATGCATACAGATTACAGGAGGGAGAAAGAAAGTGTTTCTGACTAACTAGCTGCTGTTTTGGACTGCCAGCATTGACCTAAGGTCTCTTCATTTTCAGCATGAGTCTTGAGAGTAATGCAGGACACATTTAGCCTTCAGTGACAGCTGTGCAACCCTGTTGCTTGCAGTGGATTGCCCAGATGGACCCAATTGGAAATCAATGCTCAAAATATCTCCTGGTGGCCGACAGGAGGAGTAAAAGCCTGATCAGCCCCTCTGTCCTGTTGGTCCTGCAGAAACAACAGGAGTGAGAACTCCACTGTGTCACCAAAGAGTCAGCAGATGTAGTGGCAATGCACTTCTAAAGTAATTTAGAAAATAGCATGGGTGCCTGGGTCATCAGCTAAGAGAAAGAAAAATCAGCTTTCACCAAATTATTTGCTTACCACATCAATTTATTTCTACCTGGCAGGGTAATTACTCCAGGGCAGGTGAAACGTACATACTTACTTATGAAACCCATCAATCAAGTTAAATGGTGACTCACTAAGGAACCAACTCAGCTAATAACATGAACTATTGAACTAGCCAGTCATGCTCTGACAGACACGCTGAGAACAGCAGTGCAGCAGTAGCAGCTGTTCCACAATACAAAAAAATAGCCATATTATTTGAACCATATTCAGAGATGCCATTTTGCCTGTGTGGATGTTGTTTTTGTACAATGCTATAAAGCACCTGATCCAGAATCCACTGAAGGCTGGAGAGTCAGGTCTGTATCTTGAACGCTCAATCGAGGGACTAGGATGGTTACAGAGTTAAAAAAAAAAAAAAAGGGGGGAAATGCAATCAACTGCAATGAGCTGATAAGTTGACAAGCAGA